TTTTTTTTTCAGTAAAAGCTTATAATGAAGCATACTCTTAACATGTTGATGGTTCTTATGTAAAGTAGCTTTACTTAATCATTAGCAGTGAACACTGGACTTCAATGTTAACTGAAAATTAACAACTACTTTCATTTTTACTTCTCTTAGGCTATTTCATTTGTGTATCTCCTAACATTTTATTATGGAGTAGACATGTGGAAATTTGAAATAATAGAAGGTTTCCCTTTATGCTTTGTATTCCGTTTCACAGTTTATGGTATGTATTTGTCTGTAATTGATAATAAATAGTAAAACATTGCAGGTAGAATCATACCTCTGGCTTTGATGAGAGCCTTTGAAGTAGACCTTTGGTATTAATAAGATATAAACCCTGAATAAAATGCATGTCTATAGAATACAGAATAGGTGCTACTAAGTTTTATGGTGTAATAATTTCTGAATCAGTAGTTTTCTTTCAACTTCTTTGTTAAAGCTAACAAAGGTCACTTCACATTAGTTGTATGACCCAAAAATTTATTGTGATGTTATTGTTACCAAATTTTGTTAACATGCTTGGAGGTACACTGCCAGATTTTTTTCAACTAGTCTGAGGTGATTTATTGCACAGGATTTCAGGAGATATTTTTTTAGTGGGAAGGGGTTTTTTACTAGTAAAGGAGGGTATGCTTGTTTTTTTCATTACTATAACGTATCACTTTTCCTTGTAAAAGAGAAGGTTAGAAGCACCCTAAAATAAACCTCTTCTGTACCCTGTTACTAAAATGTTTTAACCTGGGCAACAGATGAAAACTAAACATGAGTTATTTGTTTGTCATCCAGGATCATCAATTGTACTCACTGTGGCAATGACATTGTACAATATGTACCAGTAAGTACATTTTTACTGTAAAAGCACTTTTTGATCACATGATGTAAAACCATGCCCCAAATCATCAAAATTGCTAAATAAATTAGAAAAAAGGTATTCCCTTGTCTATTTTATCTTTAACTCACATGTTGAGCTATCACATGCTACTGAGTTGAGCAAGCTTATGAAATTTGTCACTTAAAACCATGTTTATTTTTCCACAGGGCTCACGTTTCTAAGACAGACCGAGGTCTTTCATTATTTGAAGGACTCCTCCCTCTTTTGTCATTCTCTCTGATGATTTTCCTCTTCTACGCATGGGCCATTTTTTCTCCTGCCAACATCCTTGAAATTCAACCACGCCTATTTTTTACAGCTACTGGAATTGTCTTCTCTAATGTGACGGTAAGATACTTCACTTGTTGTAGTTGAAAATTGTTATGCTTCTTTTCCAGAAGTGAGAGATGTGCTGGCCTAATATTTGGCATACCTGGCCCAGAATCAATTGAGAGGTCCAAGTTGGTGGTATACACCCACTACATGCCCTTTTCAACCCCATGTCCTTCTCCCCTGCCTAGTGATGGTGCAAGTCCCACAGTGTATTTGATCTCTAGCCCTTTTCATTTATCACCCAATACAAACTTTATTAATAAGTGGAGATATTAATATACGGAAGTTTTGAGGCTCAAAGTGACAGTAAAGGTTAAATACACATTTTTTGAACATGGCTTTTCACCCCTTCCTCCTCTGTCTCAGTAACACTATTAATCCTATGATATTTTAGTTTTTTAAAATACCCATTTTTAATTTACACTGTCAATTTTAGTGCCGACTGATTGTGAGTACAATGACCAGTCAGAGATGCCAAGCTATCAATGCCATGTTATTTCCTCTGTTTGCCTTGACACTCATTGTACCATTTACCAAATCAGTTGACATGGAGGTTGGAATTCTGGTTGTCTACACTGCAGTTGTAGCTTTGTGTCACCTACATTATGGAATTGTCTTGGTGAGTGGTAGTGGCCAAAGCTGAGTTATTAATACTTGAGGAATAGACCACTTTCATAAATGACTGCTGGATTAATATTCTTTTGTTTAAATTTAAATTAGTCTTTCTGGCCTCGTTCTCCAGTACAAAATTCAAAAGAATACATTATCTCAAGCGAGGCCAGAAAAGCTAATTTGAATTTAAACAAAAGAATATTAATCCAGCAGCCATTTTGGAAGTGGTCAATTAAAGCCTTGTAAATGTTTCACTTTCCTCAGAGAGTTTTCCTTGCATGAGGAAAATCTTTCTTTTTAGATGACTCTAAATGATTACCAGGAATGAAAATACCAGTAACATTGTGAAATTAATGAGATGGTAAATAATTTCAAAAAAATGGACTTTTCATGTGTCCTTCAGTCTTTACCCTCATCTAAATTCATCGTGGTCTTTAATATTTCTGTGTTGCATCCAAACCATTTTACTGACTGGTATTGAGTGATGTATTTTACTTCATAAAGTGTAATCACTTTCATTAGTTTACCCAGCAGTATTGTTTTTTTTTTTACTTTAGGTTCGTGAACTGTGCAATCACCTCAACATCAGCTGTTTCTCTCTCACAAAATGAATGAAACAAATTGGAATGAAGAACTACCACCTTATTATACTAAAAAAATTATCTGATTGTGTCTTCTCTCAGAGTCTTGCATTTTCCCTGCAACAACTTGGTAGATTTTTATTCTCAGCTTGATTAAAGCTGAATTATACTACTTTGTTTAACTGTAAAAAATCTTGTGACAACATGTGAGGTAGTTCAAAATATTTATAATATTCCTAATGTAGGGATCTTAACACAGACAAGTTAACATTAGAAGCTACAATCCCCAACAAAGTGATTGACACATAATATTCACACTGCCACTTTTAAGGAAATATTAGAAATGTAAAATGAACTGCAGTTTGCTACAATACCTCACCTTCCCAATTTGATATTAGGGGAGGGGGTGGGTGGGTAAGTAAGGCTATTAGCCTGAAATATAGTTGGTATGGTGTTCCAGGGTATGGTGATCTGGATGGCAATGTGTCAACTATTTTGTCGCAGATTGTACCTTGCATGTCTTGACAAATCCAGGTTAAAGAGCCACGTAGACAGAAGCAGTAGAAGTAGATCAACAGATTGTTCTGTTAAATTTTTCCTAAGAACAAACTCAAGGTTCTTGTTTCATGTTTCTTGCACTTTTTCTCATTGCTTTCATGTAAACCTGTAAAGGACATTCCCTTCAAATCCTGATACAGGTATTTGTTACCCAGTGGGATTGTGACATTTCAAAGGCAGCAAAAAGCTTTCAATTATTGAATCATTCATTTGCTTACAAAATGCTTGAACAGAACAGAACAGAACAGGGTGCTAAACATCGAACTATTTCTAGCAGGAAATATTCAAATAGTTATTTTAAGGGAAAATTATTTCCAAAGCATGGTGAAATTTTAGAGACCCAAGTAACATAGGTCCCGTCTCCTGCAGGGTTGGGCCAGGAGACTTTAATTTCCCACACACGAGATTACTGTGTGATGGATGTCCCTCCCCAGAGGTGGGATGGGTGGGTTAGGACAGCAGGTCCTTATCAGCTATTACAGCTGCCAATTAATCAACCTGCTTAAACAATTAATGAACAGCAAATGAACAACAACATATGTCCAACAGACACACACGAGTACTAGTTCTCATCTTGGCCATCAATTTATTAAAGGGCAAATTATTATTGCTGTTTCAATTTTTCTTTAAACCAGATTATAAGTTTATTTAACAACTTCTGTAAAAAGTATGAAAATTTTGAAATAGAACTGGGTGTAAGTAGTTTATTGGGTAATTACCTATAATTACCTCTATTATTTTCATTTGAAAATAAGAAAACATTGATGTGCAATGACACAAGGTAATATGAACAAAAGCAACTTGTCTTTTTTCCAAAGTTATTTAGTTCTTTTGGAATTACTGCATTATTCTTAAGCTGCTCTCCATTTGGTTGACTGTCTACTTCTTGAATGGAATGGATCTGATCTGAGAATTGGCTAAACTGGTTCTGGACATGACCTTGTCCTTTGAGTCATCTGCATAGGCTGACAGTCATATACATTCATCTCCAACTTGATTCTGGCAGAGAACAGCACACCCAATAATTACAAGGTGTGTAATTTAACATAGGCAAAAATCATATCTTTCAGTATGGCCAGACTCGGCAAATGGAGAGCAACCTTAAAATTCACTTTCATGGTCCCTTAGACCCTCTCAATTACACTTATCCTCATGAAATCTGCTGTAAGTTGTTTCAATAAGAGTTCTGGGCGAGTGCAATTTGTGGTCTTTGAAAAAATAAATTTTTAAATTTTCTATGTGCTACTGGTAATTGTTACTAAGTGCAGTTCAGCTTATGATCATAATCTTTGCATTTGAGAAACCTACAGGATGTTGTACGATGTGCAATTTGGTTATTTTGTTGATATAAAGCAAAGTTTTGGTTAAAGCTGTGAGTGGTAATAAATGTTCTTCATCAAGGTCTAACTTCCATGTGTTCACTTTTCATGATTGATTTATTGGGTGACTATTGATAAGGCCTTGAAGTAAACTTTTCTTTTTGCTGTGTCTGCAACACATCAATCACACCCATAAGAATATCTTTTGCCCTATTAGTTAACCCTTCAGTTCAAAAGTGGCCTAACTTCAGTTCTCAGTAGACTGTCCTCATTAAAAAAAATAAATTAACAATTCTATTCTTATAAAATATTCAAGTTCAATTGCAATGTTTGCATTGAGCACATCTTCAGAAGTCAAGAGTGTTAAGCTTGAAGAAAAGTAATGAGGGTTGTGTAACATTATGACTAAACTGATTGAGTTTTTCATCAACCAGGGCTTTCAATTCATCAGAGTCATCAATAACAGTACCAGCTGTTAAAGTGTGATATTCCCTTTGCTGGTGTCGTTAGTTTCCATTGTTACAACTGCAATCGTTTGTGGATTTTGAGGAAGCTTGTTGCTTCAACTTCTAGGTTGCGTATGAATTTGCTCAGATGGGCTTTTTTGAGTTATAGAGTTTGACACCTGAAGCATCTATTGAGGACCTTGAGTACTTCATAAGGAGAGCATTGAGAGACAGTCCAGGTGCCACTAAGTCTCTAAACAATGAAAAATGAAATAAAAACATTTAGTTGATATGACAAAGAATTTGCCAGATTTTACAAGCATGTGTCTGCAACATATCCCCACACCTTAAATTGAAAACTAACCTTAAATAAGGCTGTATTTCATCAAATGACCATTTGGCTTGCACTTTAAAAAGTTCACCAAACCTGAAAGGTAAACAGTAACTTAAATGTTGCTGACCCCAGCCTTGATCAAGAAATTCTTTTAATAACAAATAGATTTATTTCATTAATTTCTTGTACCTCAATTTATCAGGAACAATAAGAATACAATCTTGTATTCACAAACAATATTCACAGCTTCATTTTTTGGGTCTCTTGGTGTTGCTTCACTTGTAACAAGTTGAACACAATGAATGAACAAACCTATCAGCCGGAGGATTTAATCTCAATAAAACATCACACTCTCAAAGAAATATATAGCAAGTAGAATTAAGTATTGGATCTTAGAAGTTAAAATATCCCCTGGTGCGGAGTCACCTCACCGTAATTCAGGATCATTTGACAGCTTAGAAGCAGGAAAATGCCATATGACTGGTGGGAGACTTTTCAGGTCCATCAATGCAATGCCCTGAAAACAAAATACATCTGATCTCCACTACTGGAATGTTAACACATATTTTGAGATATTGTTGATATCTACCCAAGTCAAAACATGTTCACTCCTATTCATCTCATTTTTCATGTCCTTTGACTTGAGCTTCACTGACTTTGGCCTTTTTTTAGATTCTTCTTTTTTGATCCTTATTTTGTGTTTTTCTGCTCTAGCCATGAGACCTTGTGGTACATAAATAGCTTGTAAGCTATTAACAAGTTTGTACATTTGTTCAAATACTTACAGATAAGTGTTCAGACTTTGTGGTCATTCCTTCTGGGACACTTTGGCACCAGGAATCCATAAATTCATTGTAATTGAACTGAGGAAGAGAGAAGAGCCGTAATGATAGAATATAAGAATACTTCTTTCAAACTGATAGAGATGCAAAGGTTATCAATCTTTCTCAGCTAGTTACACATAGATTACAGTTACTGCAATCCTGAAATGGTCAAGCATGTTAGCTCAGATCAGTTCATAATACTTATTTCCTTTTCAGAGATACTAAGAAATCATAAGCTGCAGAATGGTTACTGCCAGAAAGGATTACAACCCCACCTGATCAAACACATGCATCTCCATATCATGAAGAAATAACTTATTAAACATGCACCAATAATTTTATGGGCATTGCAAAAATGGTTATTGTTTTGTATCTTGTTAGAAATATATTATCTTTTTACCTTCCCAGCTTGTCTTAGGAGATACTCTGCATAAAATCTACAAATTTTGTCTTCGGACAGTCTAAAGTGAATGGCATTGTCATCTAAAAGTGAAATGGCAGATTGCAAGCAAATATAATTTAAAACCAACAAAAAATCATTTAATTTGGCTCTGACCACTGCTCACCAGTCCTCTTGGCTTACTATGAACAACAACATAGGGACCTGTCCTTCTCAGCATATCAGAGTATAGGTTACATTAAGAATTGTGAACCTTCAGGCTCTTACTGCTGGAGTTAATCCTGGTGTCCACATACAAAATAACCAGAAGTATTCCTACTCCTGCTACAAAGATNATTCGGAACAATTGTTTTGCACTGACCTGTTTGTGAGCTTCTGTAGTGGCCTGTTTCTTGAACGGTCGAAGTTCATCGCTGCCAAATCCAGGAATCCACATGTTCCAACACCTTTCTGTAAAATATGCACAGAGCAACCAAAACAGAAATATTAACAAAACAGACTATGCATACTATTGTCTCTGCTGCGTTGATCATGCTCATTTTAATTTACTAAGCCACAGTTCAAATATGATATTCATATATTCATAGTCGTGCACTCGTGCGTTTATTACGAGCCAACAAAATGACCAGCTCCCAGCTGGCTGGTTAGCTCAGTTGCTAGAGCGCTATGCCAGTATTGCAGAGATCATGAGCTCAACTCCCGTACAGGCCTCACTTTAATTTAGCATTAATTTCCACTCTTCCTTGAGTAGTGTTCACAACTGCGATGATCCCTCTCATCTTCATTTATTAATTAGCAGTTCAAAGCTATCATATTCATAAATTCACAGTCGTTCACTGTACATATTATCGGGATGTTAGTTCATTCCAGGGAACCCCCCCCCCCCCCAATTCAACATGTCATGTTCCAAGGACAGTTTGCTAGTACCCATTTCTACTCCTGAGTAGAGAGGAACACTGTGAGAATAAAGGGTCTCGTCCGTGAACCGAACATAAAAGACCTGGCTGGGACTCAATTCCAAACATCATAATCAAAAGGCCAGCTTCCAGAGCCCTAAGCTGTCACATCCCTGATACAATATTCTTTAAAGTAAAATTACATGAACACAGAGAAGCTTCAAGACAAATCATACATGACTTGTAACAATGAAAAATTATCATTGTTAGAAATAAAAAAGTAAAAACATGATAAGAAACTCACCTGAGTCAGTGTCCATACTTGTTACCTCACCATAACAATTGAGACAGTGCTCAAGAATGATTCTACAAAGAAATTATTCCAGTTTAAGAAAATTGGAATATTCTGTGAAACAGTTTGTCCATGTAATTGACTTGACTCTCTTTTTCCAAGTGGAAGGGCTCCTCAAAAGACAGATCTATATTCAGTTGGGATCTGTTAGCTTAGCATATTAATTTTGTGGGTGGTAATTCAGGACTGACAACTAGTGGACTCTGCTATCTACTGCACAGGGTTTTAGATGGTTTCTTAATTCAGTGGACCACTCAAGATACAAACTAAGTAGATGATATACAAGTAGACAGACTGTAAACCTTGATATCCAATGGCATACACTTTCCAACCAAATCTGGATTAATCAAATCTTAAAGGAACTGAACTACATTATTACCTTATTGGTGTTTTCTAACAAACCTTGGTTCAAGTTCCTCCAATATGTCACAGCATTCCTTCATTGGCACTGCTTTGTAACTCCAGTCCATCTCTTCAAGTAAAGTCAAAATCCTTACCACAACTTTTTCTTTGTAATCAGCATCAAGCAGCCGCCAGTACCCTTCAAAGAATAATATTGCTAACTTGGTAAGGACAATATATTTCAACCAAGAAATAGAGTCCTCTTTCCATTAAATAGGGTCTCCAGACTGGTTAAACTCCTTGAACATAACAGATGTTAATGTCTGAAAAATTGACAATTACCTTGAAAACCCAAATTTAAGACTCTTTCATTGCTAAGAATTTAGATGATAAATTTTCTATTTTAACCACATCAGTGGTCTCAGTAACAAGCCTTTCTGCCCTTGGAATACATTTCTTGCAAGTTGGCTACCATACTCCAAATTGTCGTTATCTCTTGCAATTGTTGCAGGATGTCAAGAGTTCTTTCAACAGTTTAAACCCACCATTGATTTTTATAGCTCCAATATTCCTTAATCCTTCATTCAGTTCAGATTCACTTGCTTGCACTAAAGAGAGTAGGTCTACAGAAGTGTACTGGAAAATTGAAGAAAAAACAGTTCAGGAAATTCATAATTTACAGGTATTTCAATTAACTTACAAGGACACATCCACAACAGGGATTGTCTCGCATGCATCTACAACTTACAAAGTTGATCTCAAAGAACTTTTCAAGGAAGAAAGATGGGCCATTGTATGTCTTACATACATCTACAAATTACAGAATTGATCTCAAAGAAACTTTTTTTATCCACAAATTACAGAATTAACCTCAAATACACTTTTTTTGTCCGCATTTCACCTAAAACTTTCACTTCCAAGACCTAGATGTAAATATAAATTCCCATTGTTATATGAATATACTACCTACAGTTTTAGCTTTGAGAATTTGAAACCAAAATTAACTCAAACTCCCCTATCAATCATTTCATAAGTAACACACCATATTCTTCTTGCTTGTAATATTGCCTTCTGTCTCATTATTAGGATCCTCTTCATTTTCTGTTCCTTTATACAAATTTGCAGCAAGCAGACGTTGAAGCCTTTCTAAACGTGGCCTACACTGTTTGACTTCAAAATATTTTGTGTGAGAACTGGCCACCTGTAAAACAGATGAAATAACTTATTACATTGTGAAAATCCTACATTAAGAGTAAGCTTTCCAATAATGACTCATTACTTCTGAAGTGGATATTCTGGGTTGTTCCATCATGGATTTAAAACTCAATATTTGTTTTCCCTACCTGTACCTTATGAACATGACTCACTCACCTCTCGAAGAACCAATGGAGAACCTTCTTCCTTAAATTCTGCAAATGCATAAATGCATAAATAAACAAAGAATCAAATGAAAAAAGTAAAGCCAAAATAGGCCATAAGGACCAATCCAAATTTACCAAACAATAATTGTTTGAAAAAATTAAATATCAAATATTTAAATCAAAATACTTAACAAACAAAAAGACTCTGAAACAGCAGAAATCAAATTTTTCATTCAATATGTCCACACTGTCCAAACTGACCATTTCAGTCCACTAGGGAATAAGCATTTCTAGTGTTATTTACCAGAACCAGTAAATCACATATTTCACATTGCACACTTAATTTCAAAAATGTAAAAATAGGGTTCTCCATCATTATTTCATGTATAATAATATACATGAAAAAATTACTCAGTTCTGATTGGTTAAGATAAATGCAGTTTTCAGGTAATTCAGTGCAGAAGAGAGTTAATTCAGAGCAGATGAGGGTTAATTTAGTGCAAAGAAAGTAACAAACCACACATTCTGATTGGTCAATAATCAAAGAAACTCACAGAAATACCAAACTCACTGAACAATTCTTTGAACTGTTTGGCTAGACTTTGAACTTTTTTGCACCTTTAAGATGTGAAAATTTCATTTYATCTTATTGTTTTGATTGTAAGCGGTTGTTTTGACCAAATGCACAATGTCAATTGTAGGGTTTGAATAAATTATTTTTGAATGTGATACGCGTGCTTTTCTTCTGCATAATTACGATAAGCTACCTTGTATTTTTTCATATATATTATTAATACAAAATCACATGATTTTTCACGTGCAATTCGGAATAAATAAGCACTTGTGAATTCTTTCAAAGACCACAAATTGCACTTGCCCTATGGGCTCACGCAATTTTGTTAGTCTTTGAAAAAATTGTGCTTATTTATTCCAAATTGCACTTGAAATCACGTGATTACCTATACAAAATGAATTCCAAGTATGCAATGGATTTGTGTTTTGATAAGCTAAGTGATGAAGTGATGAAATAATGCACTAGTCAATTGAAACCCCCATCTCTTGGGTCTGGGGAAGAGTAAGGGATACAGGGGCATTAAGTCACTTTTGAACAACAATCTGTCCCTTGGGGGTGGTTCCTTTGACTTATTTTGACTTTGGGTTCTATCCCCACATGGGGTGCTGGGGTAAAAGAGAAACTGGGTACTAGTTCTTCATATGGAACTTCTAAGATGGGGAAAGGTGTGAGAAAGGCAAGAGTGGTTTGATCCACCCATGTCTTGATCATGAGCCATAATGAAATGCAGGGTACTACTTTCTGATGAACATACATATCAGAGCGTGAAATTTAGTGTTGCACTAATAATTATATTCAAAGCTGCATACATACAAACTTGGAGGACAAAGATTTAAAATTTTTTCCGTTTAAATGCAGGTTTTTTCCCTGAGCTTTTGATAGCTTCACCTTTCTTTCCTTGGGGGTGGGGGCGTTTGATCTGAGGTCTGGTCTCAGTGGGTAGGGATACTGATGTCTTTTCACCAGGGTCACTGTCACATACCCCAACCTTCCCCAAGACCCAAAATACTTCAAAAGATACCTTCATCCGTGGAAAAGTTGCATTGAGGAACTAAAAGAAGAGAGTTGGATGTATCAGCTAATCGCAAGTCAAATGTTACTTTATCTGTACACAGGACAGCATCATCTTCCTTGTCACCTCTGATAGCTACACTGTGGATATTCACACCAACACATCATCGATACATAAAAAAAAATCCAAGACACTTCAAGTAACAAAAACAAGGGTACGCTGTCGAATTGTGGTTCATCTAACTCATGAAACCAAATTCCCAAGTAAAATAAACAAATTTCATACCTATTTCCAACTTGAAGGGTGTCCAGTAATCCTGGTGGAAGCTCTAAAAGTTTATATTTGTTAGCGTTGCAGGTAGAAGAGAAAAGTAGCACTTGTACAGGTCCTATTCTGTTGACGAGGCCTGCAGCATCAGCCACTACGTTGACTTCTTCGAGAGTTCTAAGGTAGATTATGAAAGGGTGAGTAAGAGAGTGTGCGCTTGAAAGAGCTGGGAAATTGTGGTGGAAACAATAGCAACTCGATTGTTTTTTTCTCACCGTGTTGCTCCCGCCATCTTGAAGGTTTTCCCGGGTTTTTTTTTTCCAAATGCACGAATACGAGGCACGTCCCAGTCTCTCGCTTTCAAACTTTTAAACATGGCTTCACGAAGGTGAGTATAACTTCTGCATTTAATTGATGCCTATTTTCCTTGATGCGCGAAATTCTTTGGTACAACAAACCTTGTCAATTTAATAGTGAAGTAGTGTAATGCTTTACGAGACATGAGAGAAATTCATGTAGCTAAATCTTTTTTTAAATTTCAAACTTTTGATGCGTACGTGGCTTTCGACTAAACTTAGGGTGGAACCTTAGCTACTATTAATACCTTGCAGGAATTTTTCTGGATTATTCCATCGGATATTTTCTGAAAGATTTTGATGAAAGAGTTGTTACTTACTACTAAAAAGGGAAAACTTATGTACTTTGGAAAAAGATTGACTTCAAGTTTTTTTGACGCTTTACATGTTTTCCCGTGGATGTTAAGAGTTTATAGGTTGTACGTGAGCTGTATTAATTAGATGCTTACCGCTTTGACCCGTGTAAGAACCTACATTGGCAAGGTACATGTAATTGGAGATGGATAGAAAAAGGTATAACTACATAATACAGGGCCACTTATTTACATCTCATTGAATCACAGTGCATCCTTCAAAAAAAACGACATCAAGTAAAGATTGAATTCATCGCGTGTAAAGAAAATGACTCTCCATAGTTATTTTTGTCTCAGAATTAAAATGCTAATTCCTCAAATTATCTCGTATGATTTTTTTAATGGCTGTTGCAATTTTTTTTTATATCATGTTTTATCTGTTTTATAATTTCCTTCAATCACAGCTTTAACCCTCATCCCGAGCTATCTCCGTTATGCCAGAGATTATGGGATGCTGATGAAAATCGTCTTGAACCAGGAATTGATTACAAAATTGATCCACAAGGCAGAACCCACTACCATTCACGCGATGAGCGTGCCAGGGATCCTCTCTTTACTTTTGTTAAACCAGAAGTTTTCCAGCGTATCACATTTAAGAGTAAGAGCTCATAATTCCAAATTATGGTTCCTTTTCTGTCATGGGTTAATTGAGTTTGTTAAAAAAAACTTTCAGGTCAATTTGCAAGCTTGACTATTTTCGTCTATGTGACTTGTCTTAAAAGTTTCAAAGTTGGACAAGTTCATAATTTTACATCAGCAACAACCAGTCAAACTAGTGCAAAAAAGATGTTGGCATGTTGGGTTACTTGATGACACATCCAGTTTTTAGCATAGACATATATCATCTTTCCTTCTTTCTTATTATTAGGTGTCAGGGTATCAATGACTAAACTGTCGGGAAAAGTGATTAATGGGGTTTTCTTAGTGATAAACTGGTATTCAATACAACAGGAGTAGCTGTGCTCCAGGTGGCTTTATGTTACAGAAATTGGAGGAAGTTTCTACAGCAATAGGTCATAAGTTAGGCTAATATTTTATAGCCAAAAAGTGAAACTTTTGTCTGTTTTCCCTAAGGATTCATAGCTTTACTGGACAACTATGAAAGTGAAGGTGGACAGGGAGAAGTAGTAACAGAACATGAAATTAAAGAAAACCAGTGTTTCATTGATGCTATTATGGAAACTAAGCCAATGAAAATTGCCCATGAATTCTTGGCTTCCAAGAATCTCATGCCAAAAGATAGAGGACAATTTAAAAGGCAGCTTTACAAGATTTGGTTTCAGTTGTTCCGAAGAACAAAGGGAGTAAGGTGTGTGAGAAAAGTTGTATCTTAGAGTTTACTTGTGTTGTAATGTTAATAATTTGGACATAATTTATGCAGGATGTTCTTGGAAAGGGAACTTACAGAAACATCTCACTGAAATCTGGGGGCATGCCAGGATATTTTACTGTAATTAATTCCAAATGTTCCTGAACAAAGAGGGTGTTTCATGGTTGCAGGGAACCTCCCTTATTACCCTGTAGGGTTATAAGATGACAGAGCCTGCTTTAGCTGTGTATTTGTGCTACCAGATGGTTGGTTTGATCAGCATTTTGCATTGATGTAATCCTTTTCAGGCATTTGTGCATTGTAAAAGGAGGAAAGTACTTTCATTAAACTTATGAAAGCACCTCTTGAAAAACTAACATAAATTTATGAGACCTTAGTTATGTGGGTGCCTATGGTGACATTTCAAAGAAAATTATGAATTTAGTGATAATGGTGGCTCAATGATTTCTGTGGAAAAGGTGAGAAGACCAGAGTTTCTCAATCAAGTTAACAGACAGGTGTAAAATGGAAAATTGCTTGTAGGGAATTAGACTCTTCTGGATTTGAGCATGTCTTTGTGGGTGAGACGAGAAACAAGGCAGAGGTGATTGGATTCCACAACTGGATACAGTTCTACTTACAAGAGAAACGAGGCTTTGTTGACTACAAAGGGTTTTTCCCCAGTCGGAGGGTAAGCATGGCAATGAGATCTTTTTAAGATGTGAGACATTATTTGAATTGAATGCTTCACATGCATCCTTAGGCCCCACCTCTTTGTGTCATGGTTCTTTTTTTTTTTAACTTTTAATTTGTTTCCTTCTTTTCCATTTTCTATTTGAACTCCATGTCAAGAGGGCTCAGTTTAACCCCTCACTATATTGTAGAGTTGTGTTAATGGGCAAGGCACTTTATTCCCTCTTTGTCCACCCTAGAATAGAAATGGGTAACAGCAAACTGTCATGGAAACTGGACAAAGTACTGAAGGCTAAACAAGGGGGTGTAGTGGTGCCACTCATCACTTAGTGCTACCCTCTAGTGTCACTTATTTCTATGGAATCTCAGTGAGACTCACCCCTGAGAACAAGAGCACAGACTTGACTGACAGTGTTTACAGTCAGGACCAACAGGTTTATGCATTGTTTCTTCATTTCAATAGAAGCGACACGTTAGCAGTGAAGAGCAGAGTAAAAACCAGCTAATCACAATTCAGTTTAATTGGAAGGGTGATGTGAAGCCAATTGGCAGTAGTTTCATTGGCACCAGTCCTGAATTCGAGATGGCATTGTACACTGTCTGTTACTTAGCAGGAGAAGGAAAAGATGTGCAAGTGGAGATTGATGATTATGATGTTACCATCAAAGCACATCACATGGGACCATATATGGGAAGCTGTTATCCACAATGTTGACAATACTGACACTTGCATTACTTGGTTGCTATGAATTTAATCAATTTGAAATAAGTGTATCAAAAAATTGTGGCACAATATTCAATGTTCAACAATTCTGTTACAAATAATAATTGTGGGAAAATTTTAAGGGTCTAATTTTATAGCAATTGTAACAATCTATAATATATTCCAAGAATTTTATTAAAGCAATTCAGTGGCATATTATTTTTAACAAACTGTACTTGTAAATCACCTTTTGATGGTAAAATAACTAGGAGTACAAATGTAGAGCGTGTTTCTATATCTTTCATTTGTATTTGGTATCCAGGAGATAAGGTATTAAACAAAAAACTTAATACATATTCTAGCTTTCAAATGTTCTCTAGCTTCCAAATGTTGGTAAATGCAGATTAACAGTCAGGATTTGTGCTTAGGACCCCTTCTGCACAGTGATCTCAAACCTGTAACCTCAGTATTGCAAGTAGGACCAGCTTATCCTTCGTCAACTCTTTTTCCTCGTTCATTTTTGTAACTTTTCTCCCTCAAACCTTCTGGTTTCTGGTGAACTTGAATGAAGGATGTGTTTGTTACCCAACTGGAGCTTCGATTTTAGGTGTGGCCAAATCTCTATATTTAGGTCCTATTAAACCATTCTCCCTTTTGGCGTACGTGTGTCAGACCACATTACCTGTCTTCCGCTACGATGCCATGATATTGAAAAGTTACACAATGGGTACTCTTTAAGTACTTTATTGCATGTTTTAATCATACAGATAATATGACATCGACAGGAAACAGTACAAGTCTTTATAAAAGTGGAAAATACGAGAAATTCAAGACTGCTTATTACACGTTATATACACCCAACGAGAACCTTTCCTTATTGTGTAACTACTCTATCTTTACAAAAACTGTTGAGGTAGCTCTGAGATACAGTAAAAAAGCGAATTGACTAAAGCTCAGAATTTTACTAGTATCACGCCAACTCAGTATCCCTTTTTCAGGCAAGTATCAGGAAGGCACGCACGCATCAGAAACTCGCGTGGAATTTGCGCAAATAACAATTACTGAACATAAAGATAAGCAGTCTCCATTAATGTACCATGTACATAATTACAACGATAATGAAGATTTTTTGATTTTCCGACTGCTGAGCAACCATAGCCATCCTTGCACGAGCTGACTCCGACACCAAAGGCAAAATCATCTGGAAAGCACGTAGCTTGTTGGTCACCAATGCAGCCTATCCTGGCAATGTGGGTTGTCTTGACAGGAGTGATGTTAGGGTTATCCTTTTGAGGATTACAGGTGTTGGCTAAGTTTAACCCACACCAGCCTTGCCTAAGAACAGACAAGTCGCAACTTTTACCAAAAGCTTTGAAAAGAGTGGCGAAGGTGTACTGCTCCGATGGAACGACACCAAACTGTGTTTTAAATAGGTCTGTCAGAGACATGTTTTTATTGTGAGTAAACGGTGCACAGCTTGTTGTGGGACCTGATAAGCATACCAGTATCTTGTTACAGCGAACTGTGGACCAGCCTTCGTTTTTCATCGATGTCTTTTGAGTCGTGTCCGGCGAACTTTCAGCATTGAACGTTTTGGTATTTGCCCAATTATCACTGACGGGAGAAAATTCGTCTTTGCCACCGTTAATTCGAGCTACCAGTGTCCAGCCCCCCAGCGCTGTGGCCGGTTTGTCTGGATTGAGAATGTCTCCCTTTGGCTCCACGCGAATCATTTCACAATGAGTCTGCAAGTAAATGAACAGTGTTCATTATTCATCCGATCACAAATCCAAAGTGTAGGTCGGCAAACCTACTCTCTTTCGATGTCCTCGCCAAATTACCTGTCGTAAAAAACTCGGGCAATTTTCCTGCAAATTTGTAGACGATTTTTGATATAAGATCTTTACCTTCGGCTATGCAAAAGACGATATTTTCTAGTGATGGTTTCATTCCGTCAGCAATAACTGGGCAAACCTCAAACGTCGGCCAACGAGGAGATGTCATTTGTTACAAACAGAATACAAAACTTCTCAGTTTAAAGCACATAAAGAAATGACGTTTGATTAAACGCGCCATAGCTCGGTACGCATGCGTAATGCAAGTTCGGTGTCATTGGCCCAACTTTAGAACATCCGTAGCCATCATAACAACTTGTTACACCGATGCCAAGCGCATAATCATTTGGCCCACAGGTCTTCAATAGGTCACCTAGGCAGCCAATCCTTGCAATATGATTGGTCGGATTCAAATTTGGGTTGATGTCTTGTGGGTGGCATACACTGGCAGTATTCAAGCCACACCACTGTTTTGCCATGCGCCTCAGGTCGCAGCTCTTACCAAACACGCGTGACAAGTTATCCATTGTGTATCTCTCATCTACAGTCACTCCGAACTGATTATTAAACAGTTCTGCAAGAGACATGTTACGATCGTGCGTGAATGTTGCACAATGAGTATTCGGACCATCGAAGCAGACTCGTAGTATGTTACTGCGCAAATCAGCCCAACCCACATTTTTCATAACTTTTTGTGTATTAGTATCCGGTGCAGTTTCGTCGTTGATGACGCTGTCGGTTGCCCAGGTATTGCTGACCGGAGAAAACTCGTTGGAACTTCCCGGGACCCGAGCAACGAGAGTCCAGCCACGAACCACCATAGGTTCAATCTCACAGTGGGTCTGAAATTCAGATACAACTTACAGTCTACAGAAAACTGAACAATCGATAATTAGCCGACCACCTCGCTGTGCTTAGGCGAGAGAAGTGCATTCCTTCAATGATATTCACTGTTTTGTAATTCACACTTCGTGGGCTGAAAAAAATTCAGCAATCATTGGCTGATCTATGCGGCTATGACATTCAGGAAAATCATACTTAACTGTACGATTGAATTCTTCTGAACGATCTTTCTTAGTTTGCACCTGAGCGCGGTCAAAGGTTCCTCCCTCCTGATTGTAAAAACTGACTGTACAATCCAGATACATGGTCTAGATGGACTAGTTGAAGTGTTATCTTTCACTAACCTGAAAAGGTTTTGACATGCCCTTTATCCAATAGGCCCCACTTACAGCCCCACGGTCCTTTGTGTATATCTCCTGACAATTGATCGCTGGATTATCGGCACTAAAATTGTCACACAGCTAGTTTAACTCATGGATTTGTTGTCTATCAAGAGAGGACTCTACCTGGAGACTCTTAATCTTTTCGTGCCGAAATTTTTTTTGATTCAAGGTATTTGGGTTTCTCGAAGATCCTGTTCCGGCATCTCTGGAGACAGGATTGATCTAGGACATAACTTAGAGGTATTCAGAATTTCCCTAGAAATGTACGTTAAGAAGACCTCTTTAGGCTAAACTTAAGTAAAGTTTACCTTATTTCTATCGATAAATGTAAGAACTGTATTCGTCATAAACCCACCATCTTCCTAAGCCACACTTTGGTTTGTCCGGCTGACCAGGTCCGCCTGAGCCACCCTTCTGTCGGTAATAAGTGTAGTTGTTATGTCAGTAGATGGATCTTAGCACCCAGAAGCTTTACTGTTAATCAGTGATTATTCCTTCACTGATGTGTAAACCCAAAAATCCTTAACTCTGATTTTCTGTTAGTTGTGATTACTATGGGTTTGGCTATACGTCCCCAACGCATCGACGGGTTAGGTCTTAATAAACGTGTGTAAATAAAGTACCTTGCACATCTTTTCCAGCTGCATTATCTTTTTTTGAAGTGTGGCTATCACGCCAGGAGAACACTGAAACTGATGGAAAAGATTAGTCGAAGCAAAATTGCGCGGTATAGAAATAAAACCTAAAAGGTGAAAACAGCTACAAAGAACAGAGAGAACAAAAACTAAACAAACGAAAATGGCACCACGGGAACATACCGGAGACGGCGGACAAACACCTGGTTCACCATTAGGCCCCTAAAATGATTTCCGAACGAACATAAAAGAAAAAATGAGCAAAAAAAATACGTTCAGTATTGTGCTATACTTAGTAAAGATCATCATCATTTTATTTGGTAATGCAGGCTACATTTGGCAGCCAAGAAGGTCAGTGTACTGTGGACCTGCAAATCACTACAGAAATGATATATCTTATACTGCTAAAAAATTTAAAAATTCATCTGAAAGAGAAAAAAAAAACTATCTTAAAATTTGTAAGTTAACAGATAAAATACCCAATTTAGCCTACGAAGTATCTGATGATAAAAGTGATCACTGTTCTTATTCCTCATCATGATAGCTTCCTCATGGAACGAAAATTATGGATATTGAACGAAAATTATCTAAAGACATCCTCAAAAGAATTAAAACTAACTCCAGAAAGCTTAGCTTTGCTCTTTAAAAGTTCCAAATATGAGCACAGGTAATCCAGGCTCATTGTTTGTGTCACGTGCACATGGTTAAATAGAGAGAACATATGGGGCGAAGTTTAGGTCTGGAAATTTGCTTGAAAATGGAAGTAAAAATCAATGAAACTTACCATGTGACGATTTGTTGTTGTCCTTAATACGTACACGAAGTTTCGGGAAATTACTCTTGTTCACCTATCCTTCATAGACTCTACTATGAAGGAAAGGTGAACAAGAGTATTTTTCCCGAAACTTCGTGTACATATTAAGGACAGCAACAAATCGTCACATGGTAAGTTTCATTGATTTTTATTTCCATTTTCAAGCAAATTTCCAGACCTAAACTTCTCCCTATATGTTCCCTCTATTTAAACATGTGCACGTGACACCAACAGTGAGCCTGGGTTACCTGTGATATGAGGTCCTCTGTATTGGAGGGAAAGTCTACCAGCCTCTGAATTGACCTTTTGATGATCATCTGGTTTGGTACACCAGTTGATCTAGTACTAACTTTCATTGTGAAGAGATCCAGAATTGGTTGTGGTTCCAAGCCACACAATACTTTAAACATCAGCGAAACAATGTGTCTCTTATAGAGATAATCAATTGGTGGCCACTTAAACTCCTTCAGAGTAGTGCTATCACGGTCGATGGATTGTGCTTTGTTTATAATGCGACAAGCTCTAGCACGGATGCAGTTCAATGATTGTAGAAGAGGGGTAGAGCAATTACCCCAAACTGAGATAGCATAGGTCACACAGGGAATAACAGCTTTGAAGTAAATATCCTGTAAGACATATTTGGGCAAATTCTGATCTGTACATAAATTAACTAAATATGAGCAGTTTTAACATCGTCACTGAGGGACTAAGAGGATTTGAGCGTGTGTTTTACTAAACTGTATTGTCGTTTGTTTATTCTTGCACCCAAAAGTGCGTTCGCCAGAAGAAAAATTCTACGATTGAACTGCGTCCTTAATTATCGTGCTTTAGAAAACTATTTACTGTTATAGGTATGTGAAAGTAAAGGTAATCATGGTTATGCTGTCCGCAATGCTTTCCACTCACCTTAGGCCCTGCCGGTCCGGGAGGTCCGGGTCGTCCCGGGGCTCCCTATAGTTTAAAGCACGCGATCAGTTTGGCTAAACGCAACTGTAGTTGGACAACTCACACGGAACGTTGGGAGAGAAAGGCACCCTAGCGGAGACCCATACTTAAAGAAATATAATCTTAACGGGCCGAAAAACTTGGCTGATACATTTCGTTCAAGAGGATTTCTGTGTGTCATACATCACTGATGTATCGACGATTTTTCATGGACTAATTCAGGGTGAACTATTCTCTTCCCTGGTTATTTCGAATAATGAAGGCCAGTAAAAGTTAACTAAAAGGAAGTAACCCTTAAGCATCTTCAAGGAATATCCACAGCTATTACTTAATTGTCAATAAAGCAAATGATTTAAATCTAGAAGAATCATTCGGTCTCATAATATCATGAATTGTCTGGGAGAAGAGAGAGACGAAAACTGCACACTTTAAGGACCAAGTTATCGACAACCTGTGAGCAGCCTTCACAGCTTTTAAAAATGCAAACCTTCGATCCAGGTTTTCCACTTGCCCCGTCTTTTCCCTTCAGGGCAAGAGTCATCACATTCTAAAAACGGAATACAAAATAGTAGAATGAGAGCCGTCCATTCTGTATTGAACAACAGCCGCCAAATAAAACACAGATCTCGGATAGCGATAAGTAATTCACCACCAACCTGTGAAACCTTCACTTTACACTGGGAGCCACTGATACATCCAACAGGAGAAGCTGACGATGGAGCTGGTTGTGCTGGTGGCTGACAAAATACGCAAAATATCAGCAAAAGTGTAATCATCTCATATGAAGGACAGTGGTGTTGCTTGGAAAAATAAAACTCGTAAGGTAGAAGTTTGTCAGATGTTTTCCAAAATGACTGGGGTTGTTAAATACGTGAATGAATGAATGAATGAACTTTATTTAAGTGTCAGAGTATTTAGCTAAATCTAATTATTTGGGAGTTATTAAATAGAGTTTTAAAGTTACAAAAGCGCTCAGTGCGAGTTATCTTGTACGCAGACCGCCAATCATCATCGGTAACACTATTTAATAAGCTACACTGGATTCCTTTTTATGAACAATGTAACATAGATAAATGCTCTATTATGTATAAACGTATACCTGGATGATCACATAGTAATTAATCACAAACGTCATTCACGGAATACACGGTAAGCTAATTTCAACGCTATTTGCCCTAAATATAAAAGAGAAACCGAGGGTGGACGCACATTTGCAGTATCAGCTTCAAGACTCTGGAATAATGTACCCTTATCTACTAGGAAAGTGGATTCTGTAGCCTGTTTTAAGCATAACTTGTGGAATAAGTTTTTAGGGACCAGCAATTCTTACACCATTTTCATATTTAGTCATCGAGTTTTACATGAAAATCGCATGGTTTTTTTTTTTTTTCATAATTTTAAGTGTTATTCTATTTTTAACTTGTAATTAGTTAATTAAATCAGGGCCACAAGTTTATTAGCCTGTGGTTAGTACGTGCTACCCTGTATAAATAGYCTTTATTATTATTATTATTACACTAAAAGAACATTCCAAATAAAAATAAAATTGTGATAGGAACATCATAAATGTGAAATCGTTATTTCCGATTGAAGAACGATCTATTCTACGATATCAAATGGTTTTTGCATAGTTTGTCTCGATGCCATTTTATCTTGCACATCCATTGCTAAGAAACTGCCAGAATAAGTTGCCAATAGTTACAAAACACTTAAGCAGGTTAGATCCAAGTATTTTTCATAACAAACCGCAGAAAACATGGGCTCCAATTGGGCACACGAGATGACAGACCAACCTTAACTTCTGCAGGTGCCGGCGTGGCAGGGCTATTTTGCTGCGCGGGTACGGGAGTAGACTGAGAATTTACCCCAGGGGCCTCCATAGGGGCACTACTCGCGACAGCTATGGGAGGAAGGTTGTTAAGATCTACAGTCGATTCAGTACTGGCGTTAGCAGGCGCTGGTACAAGAAGATATGTTCCATCCGTGTTTTTTTTCAACATAAATTTTCCACCAGATTCAACTGGCCTAAGAAGGACCGCCAGATATACGAAGGTAACAAAAACAACCAACGTACAGCTCATCGTGGAGTAGATTTGTCACGTGACCTTCATCAGTAGTCTAATGTCAATGAAACATTTCACCCTGTGGGGAAAATAAAACGAAAAACAAACATTTTAAACATCTCCAGACCAAAGGCTTTAGATATTGCTGATCACAGGACAATTGTTGCAAATTTTGCGGAACACAGGACAATTGTTTCAGATGAATCTAATACAAGATGTTGGTGGCTTAGCTCCTAAATGAGCTTGCTGCAGCTCATTTGATGAAGCGGTTGATCGCGAAATTGAAGCTGGGTAGGGACTTCACAAGGCGGAGGAAAGAGATTTTCCTTTGTTTAAAGCTTGTGCATCTTTCTTCATGGTCCTATTTTGCAGCCCTTTAGACCCAATTTTAACGTAGCTTACGTTCGTGTGGCCTGTTAAGAAGTTAGGAGAATCACAATGTCTGACTAGGGCCTATCATTCAGACTTTCTTAACGATATGAGGATCGTAGTTAGCTTTAAAATCAAAAAGGGACATTACCAAGAATTCAAATTGAATCGACTTGTTTTTCCTTGTTTTTCTTGTAGAAATATAACTTTTTGCAACAGAAAACGTCAATCAAAAAACCAACTGGTGGTCTTAAACGGGTAATGACCCTTAAAATATAACATAACAGAAGTTGCTGGAATGGCAAGTATTTTTTCATAGAATTTTGTATCGACTAGTTCAAACATGTGAACTATTTCGTTAAAAGATGACAATCAATAATACAATCATGACCCATAATGGGTTAAAAAGTCTTAAAACACTAAAATGTACTTTCGTGACGGAAATCTATCTTTTAAAGTGTCTAAATATACAAACAAGACCAATGTTGTATGAAATAAAACATTTTCGTTGAAAAATAGCAATAAAAGATGTTTGATTGTGAAGTGATAAAAAAATGATGCTAGACTATATACTGTCTCTATTTAGCTGAATCGTAATCAATATCACATTTAAACCCAGACAAATGATTTTAAAAATTAAGAAAATGAAACTATTTAAATAAAATAAACAGATGGAAGCAACATCATCTAAGTCGCATCTCAGTTGTGAAAGCTGGCTAACCCTCAGACATAAGGTTTCAAACTGAGTAACAACCGAAACATACTTGGAAGCAGGAAGCTTCATGTTAGGACGAAATCTACCGCCGTGTGATTGTCTAAAGACCGGCAAATCAAAAATGCGAACAGCAGAAGTATATGGTAACTCCCAAACTTGCTAGGTGAAGTGATTATAACCGATATATCAGAGAAAACTCACCCACATATGACTTTCTTTCCATGCTTTAAAAGTATCAACACTGGTAAATCAACTCAGCTAAATTACCCCACTGGAATAAATTCAATTAAGTGTTAAATAGCAAATATTGAAAATTACTCTCAAGGGTCTGGCGAGATCATATCACCTAACTCGCGCTCAACAATGAGGTAATTAGCGTCTGTATGCGACGACAGACAAACAAAGCTTAACCAGCGGAGTGTATACTTACTGGTGGCGGGAGAAAGTAACAGGTGGTACGTAGACTTAGAGCGCTGCACTAGTATCGCAGAGGTCAGTGGTTCGAATCCCGTACAGGCCTGATTTTTTTCAGGTCTGATTTTCGCTATCGCATAAATAGCGCTATCTACTGAGAAGGATAGTGCATCATACGTATTTAATACCGCAGTTCAAAATATATGAACTCCATATATTCATTGTAACCAAACAAAAGATAAGAGGTTTTTTTTTTTTTTTTTTTTCTGACAAATTACCATATAATGCTTACACCACCTAATTAGCATAGGGAAGACTAAGAACTAGGAAATCTTGTAATGCCTGGCTACAAAGCACTAAGAGCAAAAGGTAAGAGCCTACCAAGTATGAATGGTGCAACTATTGACGAGCAAGAACTACTCACTGTGGTTCCTTCACAACTCAAACGACTTTGTAAAAAGGTCTTGCGAGGGTTCTATGAGAGTGAACACGTGGCTATTATCAATGTACTAACGAACTCGCAATATCCATGTTTACAAGAAGACGATTTGATCCGTTTGCTAGGGTTTGACAAGAAGCAACTTCGCCAAAGTTTGGTACGTTTAAAGAATGAAAAACTCATAAAGCAAAGAGTTCACAAGGAAAAGAATCCAGAAACAGGGACTCTCATTAGTTTCAACTACTATTTTATTAACTACAAGGTGTTTGTTAATGTTGTTAAATACAAGCTTGACCACGTAAGGAAGAAGATCGAAAGCGAAGAAAAGCAAGCCAAAAATCGCCCGTCTTTTCTGTGTACACAGTGCTCGAAAAAGTATTCTGATTTAGAAGTTGATCGCTTGTTCGATTTAGAGACTGGTCAGTTAAAATGCACTCTGTGTGAGGGACTTGTGGAGGAAGATTCTGCCATGATTAAACAAAGTAACACTTCACGAACCAATTTGGCTCGCTTTAATGAACAGATGGAGCCAATTTTCCAACTTCTGAGAGAATGTGAACACATAAATCTGGCACCAGCCATTCTTGAGCCAGAACCACAGGCAGCCCAGCTTGCTGGTGGGAGCCATGTTTCTCGTCCATCGGGTCACCGTGGGAGTAAACCATCCTGGGCAAATGATACAGTGGGTGGTAATGATGTTAGTGGACCAGGTATCAAGATAGATATCATGGGAGAGAAAAGCAATGAAGATTCAGGAAATGTGAAACCACGGGCTAAGGAGGCACCAATATGGATTACTCAGAGCACAGTGTTACCGGTTTCAGGTGCTCAAAGTGAGACAGTTACTAATGAACAAACCCATCCCAGTGAATTGCAAAACAGAAAAAGGATTGGTTCTGGTAAAGATGATGAAATCCTTGCAGAATTACTGGTGCACGAGTCAAAAAACAAGAAACCACGTGTAGACATCAATGAAGCCCTTGGGGAGGGGGGAGATGATGATAGTGACTCTGGAAGTGATGAATCAGACTTTGAGACACCTATTCCAGGACCAGCCACAAAAGAAAGTGAAGTAACAGAATCGATGGAGATTCACTCAGAAAGTGACCAAGAGGATGAAGAAGTGCATGAAATTAAAATAGGAAACAAAATGGTGCCAGTGAATGATGTGACTGAGGAAATGTTGAAGCAAATGACACCAGAGGAACATGAGGCATACACCAAAACACTACAGCATGTTTATAGTCAGTTATATTAGCACTTATCTATAGATGTGTAGACAGAAACAGTTTATGTTACCCTCAGTATCACGACTAGGAGGTACATCTATGAATACACATCTTGCTGGTTGTCAAGCATTCCTTGTCACAAACTGGCTTTGAGAATCTATGATCTATTGAACAGTGTCAAACTGTTTCAATGTTTTCTTTTTTATGTACTTTTAAGCTCAAGATACAATAGAACTACTGGTATTTGCAACAGCAAGTAATTGATAAATACAAGTGACGAGTTCCTGTGTTGAGTACTCTTTTGCTACTGGGCATAAAAAAAACCGTGAGAGGGATCAAAAACTGGTTTGGATACTTTTTGATGACAAAGATTTATTAGAAAGGAAAAGTACCAAGAGCATAAAAGCCCAAAGGATGTTTGTCAACCCAGTAATTTTTTTTTTTTAAGAAGACATCATCTCTTTGTGAGATCAAACTCCAGCATACATGTAGTTATTAAATGTTATTTCAACAACTGAAAAAAGACAGTCGTATATAGGGACTGATAATATTTTGTAATATGAATTGTTAATATTGCATAATCATTACCTTTACTTATATTGAAGGCCAGAAGTTTCTAAGTGTATAACTATTATGTGGTTACCATCATTAAATGAATGTTATGACTTAATCCTTCTTTTTACTTTAAAATTTACCATCAAAAATCATTGGCATCAGAGGCTAACATTGGTTTTTATTTTTCAGTTCAGTCCATACACAATCTATTTTTCATTCTCCTGCAAAGCTTGAGCAAGAAACAGCTTGCCAAAGCTGTGAGTAGCAAATTGATTCACTTGTTTACTGTATGTGTTAACTTGTTGAGATAACAGAAGGTAATCAAGTCGAGATGGTGACTGCAATGGCTTGAATATCTTTGACAGATCTTCATCTTGTAGAGGAGGGTCTCCCCGATTTTGCCTCTGGGAATTTTCCAGTTGCTAAAAAGGAAAAAAGAGATTTGACATAAAACAAGACATTTTCTTTGACACTGATTTACTTGAATTGGTCACTGTAGCAATTTATTACACAGCTTTAAACAGTTGCAGAAGATAAAGCCTAGGAAGCAAGTTAAAGCTTTGTCAGGGCTTGAGCCCCTCACATCCCTGGTTGTAGCATGCTCAAGCGAGACACTTCAGTACAACATGACCAAAGAACAGCCTCAAACAAACCAGAAGGCTTCTCAAAGAGGGAAATGTTTTAATCTCATCTGTTTACTAAACAACATAAACAAAGTACCCTTCTCTGAATGAAAGCTTCTTTCTGCTGTTGTTGCCTTGCTACATTGCGCAGATGATTGTTGAATTTATTGGCATCTTGACAAAGTTCGTCAACAGTCGCCATTAGCAGCCGAACATTCTTTTCTAAGTAGGATCTATTAAAAAAAACAAACAAAAACAAAACAAAAATGAAGCATACCATTGGTATATATGTACACTGGAGGCAACTTTTCTTGCAATCTATGGAAGAGTGCCGTTGTTGAAGACTACTTGAAAAAGAAACTGATTAGTTAGTGCTATTACCCAGTAATATAAAACTCCAAAAATTAATGTTAACTGTGCACCTGATAAATAAAACTGTAAAAAGGCCAGATAAAACAGAGGGGTGAGAGAGAGGAGTACAAGAAAGACAAGCACACCACCACAAAGAGCTAACCCCTTCTCTGCAGATATTGTTTCAGCTTATCCATTTTGCAATAGGTCAATCCTCACTTCTCCCACCAAGTTAAAGGAAAAGCAAAAAGCCTCTAATTAACCTGTGGGACTGCCACTATTCAACACTAACATGTTTGCATTTTTGTATTCAGAGCAATTAATATCAATTATAAATAATTTTATATTTAAAACTACTATACCCTGTAGAGAGGCTGAGGAAATTGTCTGTTTGTGTGTGAGGTGACAATACTTCTATTTCACACAACAGAGAATTGACGAGGGAAGAATTCCTTATCACCAGAGGAATCTCTTCAAACATGGCTTCAAAACTAAGACCACTCTTTGCAAGCCTAAAAAGAAGTTGTTATCAGTGTGACTTAAATCCACCTGGAAAAATTAATCCTATAATTATGGTACCTAGCACAACATTTGGGCATCATGAAGTTTGAGTTGTTCTTGGACCATCCTCTGTCCTTACATGAGTTGACTGGGTTTAAGGCAAGTAACCTAAATCCAGGTAAACTATGAATCTTAACAAACAAATAAAGGTGATAGTTTGTAAAGTAACTGTGGTGCAGCATCAGTGGTAGGTATCACAAGATTCATTGGTTTAATCACCTGAGTTGATAATGTAAATTGGACACTGTAGAGAGAATCTAAAGCTGAGCTTTCAAATGATAGTTCTCTATCAGAGCAAAATGACATAATGAGCTTAATAAACACTTCACTGCAATCAGTTTGTGTACATGTATAAACCTTATAAAACATTAATTCAGCATTTCTGCTCTTGCAGGAACTTGTAGGCAGAAATGTGATCATCATCAGATCTTCTTTAGCCAAATGTTTTACCATCAATGTTTGGAAAATAAGCTTGCTAATTTCTTCATACTGACATTAAGTAATGACCATGTGAACCCTGCTTTGACTTCAAAGAAAAAATCCCTTACTTTTCAGCACTAAATTCTTCATCTTTGTACATTGTCATCATTTTGTCAGACAAACGGAATACTTTGAGAGACAGCATTCCTTGTGAAGTCTTGAGTGGATCTTAAGATGAACAAAGTGGCATTAATCACAAGGGTTAAGCATTAATAACAAAACTTAAGCATTAACTGCTGCCTGGTTAGCTCAAGTGGTAGAGTGCCAGACTGCCTTGTGGGAGGTCAAGGGTTTGAGCCCTAGACCAGACCAACACTCAGGGTCTTTAAATAACTGAGGAGAATGAGCTACCTTTCTATTATATCAAGAAATGAATAGACATTCTAGTCTTTGCAGATAAGGACGAATAAACGTCTCCTGCATCTTCTCTATACTGGTTAGCAGGGGATGTTAAAGAACCCACACATTTATTACAAAGAGTAGGAAATGTAGCTCCTTGTGTTGTGGTCTTGCCTGTTTACTGAATTTGGGATATGGGATAGGGAAGTAATTTACCTAGTAGAGGACAACCGTGTCCTATTGTAAATTTACCTGCCTTTGGCAAATTGTCAAATATACTATATAGATTGAGCTAAGCCTAAAAGTGGAGCTCCCAAGTTCGTAATATTAATGATAACATAAAAGATGTGCAGTGTTCAATCCAGGCCCCATTTTTGTGTCATTGACGCAGAATATTCTTTTCTGACGCAAAATGAAATGATCATGGAGTCATACTGACGCAAAAAAAACAAAAACAAAAAAAAAAAAACCGAACAAAAATAGAAAAACAAGTAACCCCATATATTTTAAGTACTATTAAAGCAGCAGACAATAACAAAAGTAAATTAAAAAGAATATGTGTTGTTACCAGCCTGAAATCAGTGCGCGAAATGACTGGCATTTCATACTACCTGCATACAAGTACTTATTGTACAGGCGTTCCATGCAATTCCTAGAGGGACTGGATCCTACATTTCAATGTTCTGCATACGTTCGTTGCTTTGCTGATCAATTCATGCTTCATTTGTTGACTTTGTTTCCCGGGCTTTGTTTGTTTGGTCTCATTATGAAGCGACAACAAAAGCTAAGTTTACTGTTTAAGCAAAAATGTGCAAAAAAGTGTTTGCGCATTTTTGTCACCTTTTATTCAGAACTGGTCTGCCATTTGAATTTTTAATTCAGCTTGACAATTATTTCACTGTTTACTGCAATAAACAAATCAAAACAGCATAAAAAAAGCATAAAAACTTTGATGAACCAGTTGGTGATAGTTTGGATGATGTCAGTTTTTCAAAGTTTCAATATCAGAGTTTGACCCAGACCATTTTTGAATGACCCAATTTAAATTTTTATGTGGGACATATGACCCACTTTGGCTAATTTCTGGATTGAACACTGGACATGCATTTGCCAAGACTCGCCTGAGACACCCCTCCCTTCATTTTGATAGTCTCCCCAACCCTACTGGTGCAATCTGAAGGCAGTACATATGTGCACTTGGTCAGTGAAGTGACAACCAAACGAAAAGAGGTTGGCCATATTCCATGGGTATGGGGCTCCGCCCCACGCACACGAAGTGCGTGTGGGAGCCGTGCTGATATTCTTATTAAGCATTTCAGATAAAGTCAGGGCTATGTGGTAATCATCATTTTTTCCATCCACCTTGAGACAAGGAAACTTTGTCCTGAAAACCTTGCTAAAATTATACAACCAGTTACCTGTAACTGCTACTTTGTTAACATATTTATCAAGATATAGAAACAATTCCTTTCTAACCACCACTCTCACTAAATCATTGTGGCTGTAAGAATTCAGTGAGAAAAAAAAAGATTAATCTGATCTTACCATAGATAAGTACAACAGATTCTTCAATTGAACTCTGATAACTGAACTGGGAGTCAAGTAGATTTCTGTTGATAAATGATCCAAGGTATGTCGATTGATACCATCCCACATGCAAATGGTCCACGTTTACAGCTCGCAAACGACGCATCATCTCCATTTGGTAGTTTACTGTAAAGTTAGGAAAAAGTGAACCATAAATATTTGACTTAATTGTAGTAATTACAACAGTACTCAGCACATTTTGAAGGAGTATCATAAATTATCCATATTACAGTACAATATCATACTAAACTTTATAAATAATAACAGCAGGGCAAAGGAAACCAGAGGATGATATAACAAGCTGATCAAAACTCAGAATAGAAAAATAAACAAATTCTCTAGGTGCAAGAAAATTTGAGTTACCAGTTTGCAATAGACCTATTTAACTCACAAGTTTTGTTCCCATTGCTGATCTCAAAGAAATTCCAAGATTTATCTTTAATAAATTATGGGTCAATATACATGTAAATAAGAGGAAATTTGAAAAAAAGAGTTCCCTAGAGTAATACCACAAAAAACACACAAGAAAAAGAGATCTATTGTTCTTCTATTTTCCATCTGATTGGTTGAGAGAGTGGCTCAGTTTCAAGAAAAATCACAGAGTGAACGAAAGCAAAACATATATGAAATGGACTCAAGTACAGAAATTTGGAGGAGAACAGATCTGGGTTGGTTAACCTTTTATTTTTCATATGGTGAGAGAAGATGTGAGGTGTCTAGACAAATCACAGCCAAAGTAGAGTAAAACAATTGCAATCCAGGATTAGAGAAAAATCGAGTTTCCAGATGGGATTTGAACCCACGACCCTCCGTGATCTAGTCGGATGCTCTA